TCCTGTTTAGAGCAGCATAGTATTCCATCGTGTAGATGTACCACAGTTTTCTAATCCATTCATCTACTTTATTTTGTATCCCACAACCTTATTGAGCTCACTTAGTTTTAAGAACTTTTCTTTGTTTTAGATCACTTAAGGATTTTCAAGGTAGAAAATCATGTCATCTGGAATAGTGACAGTTTTCTTTCTTCCTCTCCATCTATATATGCCTTATGTTTCCTTTTATTGCCTTATTGCCTTGACTGAACTTCCTGTTCTGTGTTGAATAGGAGTGTCAAGAATAAACATCCTTCCTGAATTTAAAGGAAAGCATTCAGTGTTTCATCATTAAATAGAATATTATCTGTGCGTAATAAAACAATGTCCTTTACCACGTTGAGAAAATTCCCCTCTATTCCTATTTTCTGAGAGGTTTTTTATTAAAATCATAAATCAATGTTGAATTTTGGAAAGTGCTTCTTTCTGCATCAATTAATACAATCTATGGTGAATTACATTGATTGGCTTTTTAATACTGAATTAGTCAACCATGCCTGAAATAGACCGCATTTGGTTATAGTGTAAAATCCTTTTTTATTCTGAGTTCAATTTGCTAATATTTTGTTAAGAAGTTTGTGTCTATATTCATGGGTCTTTAGTTTCCTTTTTTTCTTTTTTAAATTGCATTTACCTAGCTTTGTTATCTGGGTAATACTAGTTTCATAAAGTGAATTGAGAAGTGTTCTCTTCTATTTCCTGAAGAGTCAGTGTAAAGTTGGTGTTAATTCCTCTTTCATTGTTTGGTAGAATTCTCCAGGGAAAACATCTGGGCCTAGATATTTCTTTTTTAAGAGTTAAGAATTATGAATTCCATTTTCTTAATAGTTAGAGGGCCATTCAAATTCTCTATTTCATGTTGGGTGAATTGTGGGAATTTATTGTTTGAGGAAGTTGTCTATTTTCTCTAATATGTCAAATTTCTATGTGTAGACTTGTCCATAGTATTCCTTTAATATCCTTTTTATATATGCTGGCCTATCATAATATCCCGTTTCATTCCTGGTATAGGTAACTTATGCCTTCTGTGTTTTTTTCCTTTGTCAGTCTTCTTAGATGTTTGTCAATTTTATTAGCTTTTTTGAAGAGCTAACTACTTTTGCTTTCTTATTTAATGTTTGCCTGACATAGCTCTTTTCACATTTTTTTCTTTTAATATATTTTTATTGATTTTAGAGAGGAAGGGAGAGGGATAGAGAGATAGAAACATCAATGATGAGAGAGAATTATTGATTGGCTTCCTCCTGCACACCCCCTACTGGAGATCGAGCCCACAACCCAGGCATGTACCCTTGGCCAGAATCAAACCTGGTATCCTTCAGTCCGCAGGCCAACGCTCTATCCACTGCGCAAAACTGGCTAGGGCCACATTTTACTTTAATCTGCCTCAATTATTATATTTGAAATGAGCTTATTATACAGTATATCGCTGGATCATGTTTTAAACAACCATCAATCTCTGGTTTTAAGTAGTATATGTAGACCATTTAGCTTAAATGTAATTATTGCTATTTTAGGACTTAACCTACCATTTTATTTTTGTTTGTTTTCTATTTGTCCTCTCTGGTTTTTGTTTTTCCATTTTCTCATTCTGCCTTCTTGCATACTACTTGGGACATTTTTGGAATTCTGTTTTGAATTACCTAAAGTGTTTTTAAGTCCATTTCTTTGTATAACTTCCTTAGTGGTTATTTCAGGTATTACATTATTTATTCATAAATTATCACAAACTACTGGTGTCATTTTACCAGTTTGAGCAAAGTTTAGAAAACTTACCTCCTCTTATGTCTCTTTACTCCCATTTATGATATATTTATCTTAAATATCTCCATCCTTTGCATCCACATCAAAGAGTATTGTAATCTTTGCTTCAGTGTTCAAACAAAATTTAGGAATCTCCAGAGGAAAAGGTAAGTCACTGCATTTACCGATACCTTTGCTTACTGTGCTTTGTCCTTCCCTGGTGTGCCACGGTTCTATCTTTTAAATCATTTCCTTTCTGTGATCCCTTCTTTTAGAGCAGGGCTACTGGTGACACATTCTCTTAGTTTTCCCTCATCTGAGAATGTCTGGACTTCCCTTCCCTCCGGAAAGGTCCGTTCACTGTCAATGGACTCTGGGTTGATTCTGCACTGACTGCAGTTTTCATTCAGTGCTTGAAAGCTGAAAGCTCCTGAGCCTCAGCAAAACTAAGACATGCAGGGAGCTAAAAATCCAGGCACAATGAACTGGAGCCCACTGGGTTAAAATGTCACCAGAGACACGCAACTCTGAGTCTTGTAGGAGAAACAGACTTGCAAAAGAATAATTACAATTACATGTGATAAGTTCAAAACGGCAGGCAGGCACTGGTCATGGGGCTGACACAGAGTGAGCAGCAGTGTTGGAGAATCAGCAGAAGCTGTCGGAGGAGATGTGTGAGCTGGATTTTGAGGACTGGGCAGTAGAACTAGGTTCCTAGTAGAGAAAAAACATTTGCAAAAGCCCTGAGAGAAGTGAAGATGGCACAGTTGGGAAATGATATAAACTAACACCTGGCTGAAGGGCCCGGCATCTGTCGAGCCAAAGGAAGATGAAGGGGGAAGACAGGAAAGGCGGATGCTGGGGGCCCTCAGCCCCCACTGAGGAGTTTAGACTTCATCCTATGGCCACCGAGAGCTGCCAAATGGATGAAACTGGTGAATATAATATTCACAGCAATGACTGCTGCCATTCTACCCTTTTAAAAGTAGCTTGTCACTGAATTATTAATATTATCTTTATTCTACTATATATAAAAATTGAGTTTATGTAGTGGTAGGATGTGTTCATGGCCAATAAAAGTGGGAGACAGCTGAGCCCTGCCTCCTACAGTGCATTTTTTTTTCATTCAATTTATTGGGGTGAAATTGGTTCACATAACCGTACAGGTTTCAAGTGTACACTCAACAAAACATCACCTCCCCCACGCCCCTTTCCCTCTGGCTATCACCACACTGTTGACTGTGTCTATGTTATCCTATACAATAAAAGTCTAATATGCAAATTGTCCCCTCAGGCAGTCGTTTGACTAAGAGTTTGATGGGGAGACCAGGAGTTCAACCGCTCGCTATGATGTGCACTGACCACCAGGGGGTGGTGTGAAACATGGCGGGAGTCAGCAACACGGTGCTGGCAGTGAGCGGCAGTGGAGGCGCTGCCGGCCCCAATAGGCCCCGACGAGAGCAGGACCATGGAGGAATGGTGGAGCAGGAGAGTGGGCGGCACCAGGCCAAGGCAGGTGCAAGCGGGGCCCAGGTGCTTCCCAGGGCCCAGAGGTCAGCTGGGACCTACTCTTCCATGCCAGACACTCATGCTTTGATTGCAGGCCAAGCTTAGGGACTGCACCTGTGCACGTATTTTGTGCACCAAGCCTCTAGTGTTTATATATTTACTAGAGGCTCAATGCACTAATTTGTGCACCAGTGGGGTCCCTCAGCCTGGCCCACAGGATCAGGCCAAAACTGGTTCTCTGACATCCCCTGTGGGGTCCTGGATTGCGAGACAGCGCAGGCCAGGCCGAGAGATCCTACTGGTGCACGATTGGAGCCAGGGAGGGACGTGGGAGGTTGGCCAGCCAGGGAGGGACCATGGGAGGGCTGCAGGGCTTGTCTGGCCTGCCTCATTCAGTCCTGATCGGCTGAACCCAGCAGCAAGCTAACCTACCAGTTGGAGCATCTCCCCCGTAGT